CTGTTTCTTCCTCCTCCTCTGGCTCTCTAAAGCATTAACTCTACAGCACACATGAACATTACACTAATGAACTGAAAACACAATGCCGGTCTTGTTTTTTCTAAACAACAGAAAGAGAAGAGAAAACAGATTAAGACATCCCATTACATTAAAAAAACCCAAACCACTAATAAATTAGAATAAAATTCCATTTAGGCCTCCTATCATCTGTCTTCTTAAGATGTCTTAGTGTTTAAATTATGCTTAAAGCCATTCTCTAAAATAGCTCAGGAAAAAAAACATACTTGCAAAAGACACACAGAGCTACTGGTTTGCTTTTCATGTCATCATTCAAATGGAGAGTAAACCCAGACCTGATGCCAGGCTGGCAGTTCTGTGGGCAATGTCCTAGCACAGCTATGCTGCAGACAATGAGATAGCCAATGGTTTTATTAAGCAAATGGTGGGGATGAAAGTGGTAATACACAAAAAAAAATTTGGTTTGAGTAGTTTTTTATTTCTAAATATGAAAATTAAGGGCATTCATTCAGACTGTGCTCCACACTCATCCAGTCCATCCCTCAGCCCTTTCCTGGAGGTGACCTGGGAGTGGAGGGTTCTGGCAGTGACAACCCAACCTCTTTCTTCACCATCTCCTCTTCCAACCACCCAGCACAGAAATGAATGTGTTCAGCAGAGCCAGCAAACCCCCAGCAGCTCCAGGTTGGCTCAGAAGGTGTGATGATCACAATGCTAATGGGAACCCAACACCTCCTGCTCCTCATGGACAAAACACCAGGTCTTTCCAGAAGTACTAGCTAGGTTTAAATGGTACAGAAATTAATCTTATCTATCCTTATCTACAAAAGGATAACAGATATCTATAATAAAAATCATTACAATTGCTAAGCTACCTCTTTGGGACATTGAACAACTAACAAATTACTGAAATATATGCTTAGTTTACTTTTCATCCATTTAAAAATAAAACTTACGTAAACTTCATGTCAGTCTGTGACAAACTTGGTAGAAATAATACTTGAGTATTTTACATTTACTGCCACTACACTACTAAACTGAGCAAAGTCACTGCCTTGTGCCCAGAACCTGCTGGAATGACAAAACAGTTTCTGACCATCAAAGACTCCATGAGAAAAGAGAATATTTTCTTGATTTAAATCTTGTAGGATCACACTAATCTGAAAAATCCAGTCACATTACATTTTTCATTAGGCCATTAGGCCACACTTCCTTTTCTTTAATAAATCTGTTTGGGATTTTTAAGTATTACATTTTAAAATTTCAATATTATGGAATATGTTAAAAAACTACACTGTAATTTTAAGTTAATATTAATTTAAATCCACAATTAGCAAACAAGACAAAGAACCATGGAGTGTTTTATGTACTTTTCTCTCACTTTCACATAAATGTGAACATGAAGAATCTCAGACACAAGCAAGTGTGGTTCATATACATGCACAATTTCAGCTCAATTGCTGTAACATTCTCATCCAATGCTGGGCAATCAGTGAGTTAAAATTAGACATTTTTTAATGTCCTGATTTGAAACACTTTGTTTTAAATCAATCTGTCACTGGCTGTCAGTACTTTAAAAAACTGTAATGAAAAACTAGTATTTTATCAGACAACAGATCCTTAAGTGGAAATTAAAACACAATAGAAGTGTGAATGGTTTGTGCTGCTGCAGCCTCTTTCATGTGATGGAAATCCTCTATTCTACCTTTACAGTTTGCTCAATAAACTATAATTAAATTACAGTATAAGCAAGGTTAAATGTTGCTGTCCGTGGGCCAAGGGAGAAGTTTAACAGTCTTCAAATGAGATGGGTATTTTTCACATTTATTTGCTGACTCTTGGCCAGGCACCAAGCTTTCATATTCACAGCAGCATAAAAAGCAACCAAAACAACAACAAAAAAAGTCCTGCTGAGACTATGAAAGTGTCATTTTTAGCAGCAGGACTCCATAAATCGTGGTGATGTTCTCACCTCTAGGTTCTGCTGGCACTGGGCACTGCTCGCCCCTGCAGTGGGATCCCTCTGGTGTGTGCACACAGCTCACGGGGTCAGCTTTGTTATACACAATGCCCTGGTCTGCTTTTTCACAGAAAACATCTTCAGTGAGGGTTTAACATGCCAAAATTCAGCTATCCCCCTACCCACCCACTTGCACCCCTCTCCTTGGCTGCTCCTGGGGACCAGTGACACCGTGGTGGATGTGGATGATGAGCTGCATGTCCAGGAAAAACCTGGGCTCCTCCTCATCCTGGACACCTTCAAGGCCCTTGAGTCCACCAGGCTCAGGCCATGGGAAAACAGAGGTGGCTCAGCAAGGTAATCCAGTCCCAAGGAATAAACTAAGTTTTCTGGCAGGTAAAACACAGCCCTTGTTTGGCCTCATTAGGACAAACAGAGTTCAAAGTGGTGGAATAGAGTTCAAAGTGGTGGTAGCTCCTGGGTTAAACTGCAGGGCAGCCAGCAGGTGTTGTACCAGGCACACAAACAAAAATATGAAATAGAGAAATACCTCAGAACACGTATTTTTTACCATTATAATGTTAAAAGGGAAAATTAGCAAAGCCTTCAGGACTAACCTAATTCAAAGTTAGGAACAGCCCCTCCACTTCCAGCTGCAAAGATGCTGTTCCACATCCCAGTGGACACACATACAAGTGCTGGAGGGATTTGGCATCAAAAGAGTTTGTGCTGGAAAACAGGATGGAAAGAGGAACTGCTCTTGACAGCATCTGTTGGTTCTCATCTAACAACAGTAAACTATAATTCTGCTTTTTAAAATACAATATGTTTCACCTTCATATTTCACAGGCCTAATTTGCCTTGTTATACAGTAAATTAAATCTGAAATCCTCTATTTAAACAACATTCTGGGGAAAAAAGGAAGTGACACCCTTAAATTCCCATTGCTGTTGCAAACAATTGCTGCCAAAACAGGGGAAGCAAAATGGAGCAGAGAAAGAAAGAACTCTGTAGTGCCACTGATATCACAAATCTAAATTATTTTAAACTACACACAGAACATCCTCCTCCTCCAAAAGATTTAACAGCAAAGCTGCAAAGAGTGCCTATATATTAAGAAGTCTTTATTAAAAATCCAGAATATTTTATGTGGTATTTATTGCTTTCCTAGAGCACATTATCATAAGCACTTGCACAACAACATATAGTTTAAATCAATAGCAAAGTTCTCATTGATATCTTTGAAAGCAGCTTATACCCTCATTCACTAAAAGCACTCATCTGCAGCAGGTGTTTCTGTTATTTATTAGAATTAATAAAATCCTGCTGCATTATGTTAAAATGTACACATTTATGTTAAAATGTACATCTTTCAAATCCTAAAGGACCTGCTGTAATAATGGCAATCAGAAAAGATATCATGGAGCCTCATCAGAAAAGGGTGAACCACTCTAAAAGGAAGAAGAGATCTGGCTAAATAGTAAAGGTAAAGCCAAGAACAACAAGGAGACATTCAACAGAGTGGTCAAAGGCAGGTGGAGTGACAGGGCAGGACAGAGGGGACAGGCAACAAAATTAAGGACTAACAGAAGTAGGAGCAGAAGCCAGTTCTCTGGAAGAGAATTCCAGAGCTCTAGCAATGAGGTTATGAATCATTTAACAACCTGGTCTGTTAAAACATTCAGTACCATAAAAGGAGTATTAGTGTCATGATATTTCAAATAATAATAAACATTTTTCTTGATTTGGTAACATTTAAATTTGGTTTTTTGTATCACAGGTATCAAAAAGAAGGAAAAATACAAAGATTGCTGTGATATGGTTATTCAAATTTGTTCAGTGAACCAGAAAATATTGCTGTCTGGTTCTTAGTGTATTGAAGGTAAACCTGCACTGCAATTGAGGAAATCAGGGGGCACACAGTGCTACTGCTGCTAAACATGTGAAAAATAAGTAAAATAATAGCAATTCATGTGTTTGCTTTGTGTCATTTTAAGCTGAATTTTACCCCAAAAAAATCCTCTGTAGGACTGCACTTCCCAGTCTTTCGTGACATTTTGCCTTACTGAGTAATTTTGGGCACATTTGAGAGGCAGAGATCTCAAAGGTAGGGAGTTTGCAGCAACAAACAGGGAAGGATGTAACACAGAATCAGATAACCCCCAGGGTAGAGTTATGCATGAAGGTCATAGGAAAAGTGGTTTCCAAGTTCAGCTGAATGACCTAATTCGGTGTCATTTGCTGTAACACCAGAGAGGGGGCAGGTAAATCACCTGGTCCTTTTGCCCCTCAGAGATGTTCCCCCAGGAGATTGCACTCGGTTTTGGTCCCCAAACTGGGCAGTCTGTCAGTCCCTGGTGCCAGGCACTCCCAGTGCCAATAATCAGCGTGTTCTATGAGCAGCACAGACACATAATTAGACTTATCTCATTTGTATTTGTACTGAGATATCCAGGCTGCTGAACAAAAGAGTTTCTCTTCCTTCTCTTTGTTGGTTTCCTGTGCTGTTGCAATCAGAAGCTGCATTTAGGGCATCGTAGCCAAGATGGTCCAAAGCTATGAAACAAGAAAAATCTGTAAGAAGAGGCAATAACTTTCATTCTATTACTTAGTGCAGAAAAAGCTTGATATAGAAAAAGCATCCAAGCTTTGTGCTCCCAGTCTGTTCATCAGGACATTATCAGCATCATTATTCAACAGGACACTTGCCTCTGGAGCTAAAATAACAAATGTTATTTAATATTTGTCTTGCAGTACAGATCAGTCAAGATTAGGAAACACTATTTTGTTACTTTTGAGCCCTAAGAGTTGGAGTCACTTTACGTCAGTAAGTTTTTCTTCCACCATCTTTCAAGGCCACTCCTGGCACCCTCGGAGGGTTAGAACTGGACTTGCTCTGCTTTGTTTTAACATATTAAACATATTTTAACAGTGGCAAAAGTTGTCAAAGCCTTGCAAGATCTCTGAGTTAATACACAGAGTATATAAAATGACTCTTTACCACTCTGGCTTGCTCAAACACTGCAAACAGCACAAACCCGGAGCACTGGCTGTTCCCGACGGACTCTTTCCGTCGCCTCCCCGCTCGCTGTTGTTGCAGCACCCAGGGGTGAAGCCCATTGTGCCGGGATTAGCCTCCCACATGACATCCCTGCAATCACAATAAGTGCTCCAGAGCCTCCTATTCACGGCAGCAGGAGCGATAAAGGTCAGGCTCAGCGTGCTCTTTCCCAATTATTCTCCAGCCCGGCCCAGCCAGAGCAGACAAGAGCAAACACACCAGGACTTCACAGGCTACTGGAGTGCAAAAGCTACTCAGCTTCTCTTTGACATCTTTGGGTTTAATCATCGTGGCTTTGAAGAGTTTGGATGATTTTTTAAATATATTTTCTCAAGGTTATTAAATCACCTGGAGTGGGACAAGCAGACCACAAAGGCAGCTGGAGCCCAAGACTCAACTTTTAAACGGAAGAGCTGCGAAACACTGATCCTGGGGCAAGGAAAAAATGGATTTCCTCAGGTTTAGGGAGCCAGAATGATCCATCAGTACACAAAGGACTCCTTCCACTACTAATGTGCTTTTGCTGGAAATAATTTATGCAAGAAAAATGGAGTTTTTAACCTTTTCTCCAGAAAATCACTGCTTTTCAGAGTTACTTGACAGCAGTGATGGTGATGAAGAGGAAATACTTGTATGTGGAGAAGATTTAGAGCTTAATCCTTTTGATGGCTTGCCTTACTCCTCCCGTTATTATAAACTTCTGAAAGAGAGAGAAGAGCTTCCAATATGGAAAGAGAAATATACTTTCATGGAAAGTTTGCTTCATAATCAAATTGTGATGGTGGCAGGAGATGCTAAGACTGGTAAGAGTTCCCAGGTCAGTACAACAGACTTGGTTGGGGTTTCTTTTAATTATTTTTAAAACTTTTAATGTTGTCCACTTTTCTTTTGTTAACTATTTCACTAGTACTATATATTCTTTAAAAATAATTTTGCAATAATTCAGTATACACAGCTGTTGCCCTGCATTGGGCACATCAATATCCAAATTTACATTTTCCTTGTATGTGTTGTGCTGAGATCTGTCTCGTATTGCAGAATAAAAGCACCCATTTCTGAAGAGATGCAACACACACAGTTGTATTAAGTTTAGCAGTTCTCAGTGCAGAAACAGATGTGCAGCAAACTACTGTAATCTGAGGTATTAAGGCCAGAGAGGGAAAGCGAAATACAGGAGGTGAACAAACATTAATGCAGTCAAACACAGATTTAAAATATATGAAACATTCAAACAACTTTCTTTAAATGTTCACAAAAAACTGGTACTTTATGTTTGTTTGTTACAAGCAAGTTTTACTTGGTTGGTGGTGCTTTTAGGGTTCAGGGTAAGCTAAGCTCAAGAGGAACACTTCTCAGACTGTCTCAGATGCTCATAAACAACGAATAAAAATCTCAAACTACAACTTTTCTGTATTAAATACTAAATTTAAAAAGATCAAGCCCTTTCTGAACACTGCAGACCACATGCATGAACTGCTACAGTATAAAATCCAGAACCAAATATACATACAGCCTTAGAAAAATTCTGTATAAAATATTATTGTACTACCAGTATGTTCATTGTTCATTTTTGTTTTGTTTTTATATCCCAATGTAACATCTCAACATGAAAAACTGCCAAATGTACACTTCTAAATGTATTAAAGAATGTATCTGCTGAAATCTTTCCTTCCTGAAATTATAAGTGTATTTCCACAGTCTGCACATAGACCAAGACTGAGTGTAAAATACTTTAGGACTTATCTCAGATTTAGTATTTTAGCAGTAAATAATTCCTTCTACATTTGGCTGGTCAATCTTTTGTTAATCTTGGGAATTTTGTTGCTTCTCCTTAATCATGACTGAACTTGCCTTTTTTTGCTTCTTTTTGTCCATCATCACATTGAACCCCAGTGGAAATGGCAAACTCTGCAATGCCTGTTTTGGATTCAATGCATGTTCTTACTTGGGAGGTGTGTTTTGGTTCTGATTAGTGCTACATCAGGAAAGAAATACAGTGGATTTGCTGTCAGGTCATAAGTGAAGGTGATAAAAGTACTCAGGGAATGAAGGATTGAAATCAGTAGGGCTGTTTCTCAGGGAGAATTAATGGTGTTTCCCTCCCTTCAGCCAGGAGCCAACGCTTTTTCCAAGAACACAAAATTACTTTGCAGAACTCATGTGAAGACATCACTGAAGCCAAGATGTCAGTTGATTCTAAGCACACAAACATCAACCAGGACTATCAAATTCTACTGTGACAATATATAAAAATTTCAGTCTGTTGCCATAGTAAACAGAGAATTTTCAAGCAAGTGTTTGAAGCCACAATATTATTGTTTATGACTGGGAACAGGAGAAAACTTTCCTGCAAGTAAAGCTGCAGGATAATTGCTGTTGAAGGGCATCTCATACCTGCCAGAGACTTTGATGCTGGACACTGCTGGAGATCACATATTGAACTAGAGACATCACACTTCCCACTGAAAATTCCTATATTCCTATAAAAGTGACACACACACACCCGGTGCCTGGAATGATTTTTGGAGAGCAGTCTTTCTTGTTATTGACTGTAATTTATACAGAGAAAACTTTGTATAATAATAAACTACTTGGTAAGAAATGTTAGCTTTTAAATTGTCCTTAACCAAATTTAATAAGATGTAACACATTGCTGGCTGGTTTTTAAACATTTTTAGAAATACATATATAACTATACAGAATAAATTATTTATGACTGATGCACCTGATTTTACATGTTGATTAAGTAAAGGATTTGAAATCTAATACTTTCACTAAAATAATATTTATAATGCAATTGTACTTTCTCTTGACAATAACACATGAATATTTTCCAGTGTTGATTTTATGTAAATCTATAAATTAGAGAGCTGCTGTGCAAGCTGCTGGAGCAGTTCAAGTTTCAGTGATCACTGTTTGCAGAGTAATTCATCTGAAATTACATATATTTACTGTGGCATTTGTCAGTTTGAAATCCTGTTCTTTGTGGGACATGTTTCTATGGATATGATATAACACGAGCAGGTTTATTCCTGTCAGCAGCCCCTGACAACAACTGCTCTAACCACGCTGGATCCACCAGCAGGTCCTTATTACGACACTGCTGGTGCCACCTCCTCCCTGGGGGCCAAATCTGTCCCTTCTGCAATATATTCAAACTAATCTGAGTCCAGTTGAGAAACTCCCAGGTAAACCTTCTCATTCCCGTTGAGCACTTACGAGATTCCAAGCGCTGACATTTATCAGGGCAGACGATTTCCGAGCGAGCGCAGCGGGTGCTCGCGTTGATTTAGTTGTTCTACGCTGTCAGCTTCTGAATTACAGCCTCTGTTAAACTTGTTAAACACTAAATCCTAGGGGTTTTTTTTTTCCCCTGTTTCCCTGCAGATCCCTCAGTGGTGTGCCGAGCACTGCCTGTCTGCCCGCTACCAGCACGGCGTGGTGGTGTGTGCGCAGGCACACGGGAGGACGGCGGTGAGGCTGGCCCTGCGTGTGGCTGATGAGATGGATGTCAACCTTGGCCATGAAGTGGGGTACCTCATCCCTTTTGAAAGCTGCTGCACGCCAGAAACTATCCTGAGGTCGGTGCATTTGGGGTTTTAAGGCCTTCAGACTCACCTTGAATATTGCGTGCAGTTTTGGGCACTGTAATATAAGGAAGATATGAAGCCATGAGAGAGTGTCCAAAGGAGGCAACAAAGATGGGCCTTGATTTGAAGCTGTGTGAGGGCACTGAGGGCATTTGGTGTGTTCAGCTGGAGAAGAGGAGACTGAGGGGAGACCTCACTGCAGTTACAACTTCCTCAGGAGGGGCAGGCCCTGAGCTCTGCTCTGTGGGGACCAGGGACAGAACATCAGGGAATGGCCTGAAGTTGTGTCAGGGGAGGTTTAGGCTGGATATCAGGAAAAGGTTCTTCCCCCAGAGGGTGGTTGGGCACTAAACAGGCTCCCCAGGGAAGTGGGCACAGCACCAAGGCTGCCAGAGCTCAAGGAGAGTTTGGATGATGCTCTCAGGCACATGGTGTGACCCCTGGGGATGGTCCTGTGTGGCATTAAGGGTTGGGCTCAATGATCCTTGTGGGTCCCTTCCAACCCAACATATTCTGTGATTTTGTGATTAATGTGTAGCTCACAGCTCCTTCAAGTGCAGAAGTTTGCAGCTGAAGCTCTGCAGTTCTTAGCTCTTAAAAACAAAGAAACCCAACACTGTTTATATAGCTATGTATAATACTTTAAAATGCAGATTTGTGATTAATCAAGAAGCAGTAAAGGGTTTGAAGGTGCTAAAAATCATAGTAGAGATTTAAGTGGGCAAAACTTCATCAAGCACCTCAGTGACTTCCTTTTTTTTCCCTCTGCTTTTGTCTCCTCTATTTTCCAGGACAAGAATGTTCATTATCATAAGAGAACATGGGATAATCTCTCTCAAAGTAAAGCTGGAATTCAAAAGCCATCCAAAATCATGGCTAGATGAGGGTACATCCAGTAACAAGAGAAAAAAGTATTTAGGAGGATATTTAAGAGATAAGAAATGCACTTAATGTATTAACTATAGGCAGGTGACAGCAGCAACACAGGGATTCAGCTTTTGAGCCTCCCAGAAAGTTAGGAGAGTTATTTTCTCCTGTTCCTTAATATGGCAGGCACAAAACTAGATCACAAGCCTTTTTCTCAGCCACTGATTTCCAGTGGGGAAGAGGATACTCACCCCTTCTGAAAATCAATGTCAGCCACTCTGCCTTTTGCACATCCTTTCTCTTTTCACGGAGAACGCTGGAAACCTCATCCTGCAGCCCAACTTCCTGCAGCTGCTCCAGCTGGGAAAGGGAGATGAATCCTGTCCTGTCACACGTCAAAACCTGGTTCAAAAATTCAAAGTCCTGCTGAGTAACACAACAAAAAAATAACATCCTTTAAAAAGAATTTCAGGAACAGGAATAATAGGGACAAAAGTGAGGGTATGAATTAATCTCTCATCTTTGTTGTGGCACTGCCTCAAGTGCTCCTTCTTTTCCTCATCTGAAAGTATTAGTTCCAAGCTCAGCAATTGTTTGTGGTGTGTAATATGCTAAGATAGTTTGGAAGATAAAAGGCAATACAGGTTATGATTTTAGGGCAGAAGTATTTCTTCTTTTGCCTGGAGCATCCTTTCAACCACAGCGCCACTGAGTGCCACTGAATCTCACCGAGTGTGTAGCTAGTTAAAGAAGGATTTAAGCACAGAGCTGAGACTGTGTCTTATGAAATCTTTCTTGTTAGAACAGAAAGAACCAAGCTGCCCCCAAGCCCCTGTCTGAATATTCCAAGCCACTTTGCAGAGTTTTCTGTTTCTGTGTTGCAGATACTGCACAGATGACATGCTGCAGAGGGAAATGATGTCCACGCCCCTCCTGAGCTACTATGGGGTTATTATCCTGGACGATGTGCATGAAAGGACTGTGGCAACAGATGCATTGCTTGGCCTCCTCAAAGATGTGCTGACAGCAAGGCCAGAGCTGAGGCTGGTGGTCCTCACTGCCCCCCACATGTGCAGCACTCTGCAGGATTACTGTGGCGGCATTCCCGTGATCCGGGTGGAGATGAAGCACCACGCTGAGGTCGTGTATTCCTGCTCCACCCACAGGGACCCCTTTGGGGCTGCCCTGAGGCTGCTCCTCGAGATCCACCACACCAAGGAGAAGGGGGACATTGTGATCTTCCTGGCATGTGAACAGGTAAGGGATTGACCTACTCTGTTATTTCTGGGTTTAATCAAGAAATTGTTTATATTTCTGTTTTTAGGTGACCTATAAATATCTTATTGCCAGTGCCTAAGACCTGTACGATACTTATATCTTCTTAAATATAATAATTATGGTAAAGTGGGGAGGTTTGTGAATACTTTGATAATTTTATATATTGCAATTGGAGTAAGAACATAATAGTTTCATGAGGAAAAATGCATTTCTCTTGATTACAGGAAATTGAAAAAGCTTATCAAATGATCAGACAGGAACAGCCTAACTTAAACCCTGACCTTGGTGAACTCATCCCCATCCCTTTATACCCCACAAAACAAGACCCAATTCCCAAACCAACGCCAGACAAACAGAAATGCTGCAAAAAATACAGGAGGAAAGTGCTGCTCACCACAAGCTGTGGAGAATCTTTGATTTGGATTAAAAACGTGACCTTTGTCATCGATGTCGGTGTTGAAAGAAGAAAGGTCAGTAAAGCAAATCAGAGTCTGTCACAAATAAACTGTGCAGAGGGACTTTTTCAGGGTGGGGGAAAAGGAAATGTGCAGCTCAGATTAATGCAAATGGTTACAAAAGGATCATATATTTTTTTTCTGTTGTAAATCAGGTTCTGTCGTATTTTTAAGATACAAATTAATAAAATCTACATAACTTTCATGGACAGCTCATGTGAAAACCAAGCAAGAAGTCACAATTACTTCCTAAATTCAGTCAGAAAACCAAAAATTTCAATTTTCTAAAGCCAGATTAACACTCCCAGACAAAACTGCCACTCATTTGGGCACCAAACCAATGAGAGGTCATGTATCTCACTTTAGTTTTGGTGCTGACTGTCTCTTCAGTATCTTATAGTTAAAGCAAAATACAATCAGTTCTTGGGTACCTACTGGCAGATTTCCTGACTTGGTAGATCAACCTCATTCCTTGTTTAATGAGTTAATAATCCATGTAGTGCCATAACCACGTAACACCAAGGGATGCTCACACAGGGAAACTCTCCTTTTTAAAGCTGCTTGTGCTCCTTCTGGATATGTGTTACTATCCACATACCTCAAAATGCTGCAATTTATCTAATTAACCTTTGAACTTTTACAGTTTATTCTAAACACGTCCTCAGTTCTTGTTTCCCACCCTGGGAAGGACTAGTGCAGCTGCAAAAAATATCTCATTTCTCTCATTCGTACAAAACTGATGAACTAAAGAATTAGTAACTATGTAGGAATATGTCATTACACATGAGTTTGAAAGCTGCACTACTACAGGCTTTGTAACCGTCCCACATGGCCTCCTAGTCAAAATAAATATTCCAGTAATAGGCAAAAGAAACAATATAATACAATTGCTTTCTAAAATACAAGGTGGAATAACCAAAATTGAAGTCAAGTGTTCCTAAAATTTTGGAGCAGGGTCAATAATCCTGATTAGCTCTGAAAACAGTTCAGGGAGAAGCCTGTGAAATACCAGGACCTTTCATTTTCATTGCAAAAACCTGTCATTTTTAAAGGTTCTCATAGGGGGGTTATAAACTAAGTCAGTCTCCAGTCAAGGTAAAAAGAAGTCCTACTTTGGTGTGCAAGGTAGAGAGCCTAAAAGTAGTTTTCAATTAGACCATGATAAGCCAACTTATTTCTAAAAATGCAGGTTTTTTGGGTGCCAAAAATGAATCTCATTTCCATAGTTAACCTGAAGCCCAAAGTAAAATTCAGTGCCTCCAGACTTCTGTGAATCTAAAATACGAAGCAATGGGAACAAATCAGTTCAAACAGTCCTGACAGCCATCAAAACACCTCTACTGGTTACGCCATTTTTACCTTTAATTCAATTATTTTGGCTTAACAGCTGAAGTTTAGTCCTGTAACATTCATCCATCAGCAATTCAAACACATCCAAACTGTGTGGCCGAAAGTCAGATGAATATTGAGAGAACAGGGAAAGTTTAGTGCAAAACAAATCCCACCTAAGTCTTACAGCTGGGATATATCACAAATTTACTCGGAGGAAAAAAATTTGTCCCCTGCACCAAAGGATTTTATTTTTTTTTTTTAATTAAAACCCTGCTTATAGGAGACAAAGATAATTCAGATGTCATGATTAAAAAGTTGCCTCATCCAAACAGCCCTTTTACATCTTGCTGTACACTGTGGGGGTTATGGACATCATTGGTGGCCAGAACAGTGAGTGAATCAGCTCTTCAGTTTAATCAAAATAAAGTATAATTAAGAAAAAAAAATGAAACAGGGCATTGTACATCTTTAATACAGCCCTTGTCTCCTGTACTGAATTGTCAGATTTCAGTGTTCAGACAAAAATCTGGAGTTATGGAACAAAATGTTATTAGATATGTTATTGGAAGAAATAAATAACTTTTTTGATGCTTCTCTTGATGACACCATTTTGTGCTTTAGTAAGGTGCATTTCTTCAGCAAAAAGACATTTATCTTAGAGCACATTTGGAGTTACTGCAAAACTCTCATTTTGTCAGTGCTGACTGCTCTCATTTCCAAGCTGGTGACATAAAAAGAAATGAAACTGTTACGACACTTTCTGTAAAATGACCTAGAGAAGAATTCAATACAGACCATTAATATCTTTGTAGCCTTCTTGTACTTATCTGATGCTTAATATCTCTTTCATTTAAAGGTGTACAATCCTAGAATCAGAGCAGACTCTGTTCTAACCCAGCCTATCAGCAAAAGTCAAGCAGAGATGCATAAACAAATTCTGGGCATGTCTCCATCAGGTAGAATTATCAGCTCAACATTTACATCCATTAGCTCAAATTATTAATAGAATCAAACTGCAATGTGAGAAAAAAAAATTAAAAAAAGGTAATTTTTCCTGAAATCTCTTCCAGGCAAACTCTTCTGTTTGTATCCTGAGGAATTTGCAGACAAAGAAATGAAGCCACATGTCCCAGCCAAAGTGCAGGAATCCAACCTAACCAGCCTGGTGCTCTTCCTGAAGAGGATGGACATTGCTGGCTTTGCACACTGTGACTTCATAAGCAGCCCAGGTAAGGGGGATGCTCCAATTTTTCATCTTTTTATTATTATTTTCGGAGGTATTTAAACATTAGTTTTGCCCTGTTACTCACAGTATTGTTTTTTATTTAAGTACTTGTAATAATGTTACTCTGCTTTTACCACTTACCTGCTACAACAGTTCCCAATTCAATAGCTGCACCTAAAAAAAAATACCATAAAGTATCTCAATGGAATTGGAATAAAAAATAAAATCAATATTCCAAATATCTTCTCATCTAAGTTTCATATTATTTTCCCGGAACCCACAAAGAAAATGTGTGTCCCATTATACAGATATCCAACAAAATAGATACCTTTAATCAAAAGTTTACGACCCAAATAAAGCACTGTTGTTACCTGGGGGATATATGTGGAGGAAATGAGCTTCCTTCTTATCCTCCAGCATCTCCCACCTCAGATCTACAATGAGCTGTTACTTAAGGACAATATTCTTTATAAAATAAACCCAAATAAACTTGCAGTGCTAGACAGGGAATACACTGAATTTTGATGTAAGCGTGTGAAAGAAGTTGCTTTTTTTTCTCCTGACTTCATAATTTAGGATTTTTTCTATAGAAGAATATTCTCTGTTCTGGCCTATCACAACATTCAGCAAATCTTGCTGTTGATTTGAAACCCATTAAAGTGAAGGAAATAGCACTGCTTTCGTTGGTTTGGGGTGGATAATGGCTTCATTCTAGATAATTTTTCAGTCCAAATAGGAAGAATTGTTATATTATCCTGCCTTTCCTCTTGGACACACACAAATTTGAAACGACCACTTGTCTTCTACGTGTTGTGCACTGCAATTAATTAGTAATAGAGAGTTTAATTCCCACTGTTGGATGTTGCAATAGATTGGAAGTGGAATTTTTAAGAAGAATTTATTCTACTTTTCTCTTTAGCAGAAAAGTGCCTAAAAGACATATGAAAAAACATTACCAGTCTGAGCAAAAGCTGATGAGAATCAAAGTATTTTGTCCTTGTGAGTGTCACCTCCTGTGTTGAATCTAGGAAACCTGCATGGAAAATGCTTACAGAATACAGCTGTCTTCCACCCAAATTTAAAATGTATTTTACTACAAAAAATATACTAAAACATGCAAGTTTTTTAACTGGATATGAAGAAAGTTGTTCTCGAACTGTAGAACAAATTAGTAAAATTACACCAGGAAAAGCATTCACATTTTGGGATTTAAAGACACAATGGAGAAGGCATTCAGGGAAAATGAAATGCTAGAGGCGTTTAAGGATTTCACAGATGTAGGGATTCTAAGTGTTGGCTGTATTTTGGATAATGCAGCTGAAGAAAAGGATGGTGTTGATGAGTACAAATCATGAAGGCATTTGGTGAATGCATCAGCTTTACTTGGATGGACGTTAAATGTGAAAAAGTTTGTGCTAACTGGTCCAAAAGTGTGAGGTCGAGTATTGAATAGTTTTAGGAATTACTGAAACAGTGTGAGGAAACTGTTTGAACAAAGGAAAAATCCCACAAACTCTGTAGGGGTCCCCAGACAGGAGATGAGAAAGTCTGCACCATTTCCTGGTCTCTTTCCCATCTTAGGCCACACACAATTAAACATTTGAGACAGAGCTTTAATGGTCTAATACAGCTCTTCATTTCTCCTAGGATAGGTCACACATTGGCTTTCTCTCCACTTTGGAGCAGGCAATGAACTTTTCTCCTACTGGTACTTAAAGTGATCCCCCACCACAATCCCCCATGTAAACCTGACACGATCAGAACACAGCCTGAAGGACCTGCTGTGAAACAAATTTGTCTGAAAGGAACAGGAACAATGAAGGAAGGAATTTGTGAGGGGAGTCAGTTATTGTATTAGACCAACTTACAGAACTCAAAACACACATCAGGCTTTCAAGTACATAAACCCCAGAATGGTTTGGGTTGGAAAGGACCTTAAAGATCATCCAATTCCAACCCTATGCCATGGGCAGGGACACCTTCCACTATCCCAGGTTGCTCCAAGCCCTGTCCAACCTGGCCTTGGACACTTCCCAGGATGGAATTTGAGTTCTTCATCTTCCCAAGAGCTTTGGGTCAATGACCCCAGCTTGTGAAAGCCCAAGTTTTCTCATTCTGTGCAAAGACAGACCCAACCAGCCACAGATACTCAATGCCACACTGATCTCCAGTGGTTAAAGAAGCACAAAATCCAGCAGAATTATAGAAATAGATATATATAAATATATAAAATAGACTGACCTTAAAATCACACCTGCTGCCCAGCCCCAAATATCACTGGTACCCAGTTACAAGGGAGCTCTGAAGGTTTTTATTGCTAGTTATAAGGTCAAATAGATGTTACACCTTCTCTGGGTTATGTGCTGCAGGACAGTGATGCAGAGGAGGCAAAGAGAAGAGCTCTCAGACATGGAAAGTGTCCTCTCTTGAGCAGGAGATTTTACCTTCCCAAAAAGGCTTCATTATCATAGAACCATAGAATCACAGAATGGCTTTGGGTTGGAAAGGACCTTAAACACCATCTAGTTTCAATTCCCTGCCATGAGTTTGACTATTCCACATCTCTTCACCTCCTTGGACTTGATTTCCCTTCGAGTAAAGGGAGTAAAGACATTCCAGCATCTCCCACGTCCCAAACATGCCACAGGTTTTCCTCTGGACCCTTTCTGCCCAACTCACATTCTCACCTTTCCTTTGCAAAGGAACAGATGGAGGCTTGGGGTTTTTTTAATGCATGCTGAATTTCTCCTAAACAAAATAATCTTTTCACTGAGATGAGTAAGGTGTGGACAGGAACTGGTGAATAAACTAATCAGAAGGACACTGAAATTCATAGCGAGAATTCCAAGTACTTCACAGTCCATTTCCTGCACATGAAGGAGAGAACACACAGCAGATAAGAAGTAAAAATTACATCAGTAAAACATTTTATTTCTGCTCAGCAACAATGTGCACGAGGGTTTTTTTTCCTCTGCTCTTTGAGGAAAAATAAAAGCTGGGATTAACTCTGACTCATTACTGCATTATGAAAGCAACAAACATGTCAGGCTTACAGCTGCTGCATTTAATTCATGCCATAATCGAGAGCAGCTAATGCAGCTTGTTACTCTTTTTAGGATTCATGAGCCATATGAAAATGTATCTGGCACTGCAGCTCTGAAGTGCATTACTGGAATTCCTGTGCCACTCTGACAGGGATGTGTTTACATTTGCATCAGTTAATCAGATAGATTTTACTGTGTTTGATAACGGGACAAAAGAATTCCAGTCCCATGGATTGCAGCAATGTTATGTGTTTTTGTAAATCACTGGAAAATCCTTATTTAAACTATTCAAATCAGTATAAAGATGAAGCCATGCAAAATTTCTGTAAGAAATCAAGGTGGAAGCAGTTTGCAGATTCTGCATTCATTCACAATTACCATAAACAATTTTCAGAATAAAGTATTTGTTGATGGTCATGGAGACCATGAAATTTGACAGCTGCGCTGTTACAACCCCACCAAGAATATATTTCTAGAAAATCCATCATAACAAAAGTTGCATAAATGTGTATAATTTCAAATTGTTTCAGGAAAGAAAACTGTTTGCTTATTTTTTCAGTAGAAACAGACTGTCAAAGACAGAAACTCAATGTACCATGTAAGGTCTGCTCAACAGAGATCACTTCATGGCAGATTTAGTATCTCAAGTTTACTTGTTAATTCTTTGATGGTTTGATTTCTGAATTTAATCAGTTAAGTAGTGTTACATCTCCTAATGAAAAGCTTTCTGATAGCATAGACATGGCCACATAGGTCATGGTCTGTGCTGTACAGATCAGTGGAAAAGGATAAAAAGAACTGGAGAAGGTAAGGACCAGACAGCAAACAAAGAAAGGAAGGACAACCTGTCCCTTGGCAGCAGGAACAAGGGGCAGGGCAGTAAATACAACCTAATAACTGAGTCCACACCCCACTGAAAGTAGCCAATTCCTTAGAGCTGGTATCACAAAGGGCATCCCAAAAGGTTGCCCAGAGAAGCTGTGGCTGCCCCTGGATCCCTGGAAGTGTCCAAGGCCAGGTTGGACGGGGCTTGGAGCAACCTGGGCTAGTGGAAGGTGACCCTGCCCATGGCAGGGGGTGGAACAAGATGGGCCTGAATGTCCCTCCCAACCCAAACCAATCTGTGAGTTTAAGACGAAAAATGAGAAGGGAGGGCAGTAATGATATATAATATTATTTAAATTATTCTCTTTCTGCATATACATGTTGCACAGTCATGTAGGTGCTCTGAGGGTGACACAGAGCAGACAGAAAACAAATGTTGCTGAGCAATCAGTGCTATCCCTGGTGTGCAGATACTACTCAGTGTATGCTGTCAGGAAAATGCAGGTCAGGCTCTGCCCTGCCTGTCCCTGCTGGCAGAAACCACAGCAGGGACCATGACCAGCCTCACTGGAGTGAGGAAGCATCATAATGGGGAATGGAAAGACTGCAAAGTATGAGTTTAGAAAAGCAATGTTTAATGATCAACTACAATTTCAAAATAATAGTTATAGAACTGGCGGCTTCAGAGCAAGACAGACTCATGAAAAATCCTCCCTCAGTTACAGGGGAAAAAAGAGAATCAGGATGGGAGCTGCACACAGAAGCCTGTGCTTGGAGAAGAAAAGCCTTTGCATGATTTGAGGAAAACTTGGCACTGGATTTCTCCGTATCTTCAGTTTGCTATCCAAGGAGCAATGTTAAAAAACAGTAGCAGCATTCCCCAGAACTGCTCTCCCTGCAGTAATTACTTTGGCAGTTCTTCCTGTTGCTCAGCCCAACAGGAGCTGGAAAACTTGCTGCTTGCCAGGCAGTGAATCAGCTCTTTAAAGACAACATCCCTTCACCTGACATTCATGTCAGCTCTAACTTTATAACAGTTATTTCCATGGAAAGAAAGAAATCTACCAAGAAAAAGATATTTTACTTACTCAATGTTTGCACAGAGTAGAAGGAACCATAGGAGCTGTGGATTTTAAGTGGACTATTAAAAATTATGAAATTTAAGTTTCCTATCTCTAATATTCACTTATTTGTGAACTTTGACCAAATCCCTAAATCACTTGTTCCTTATGCAACAATAATAATACTTTTGTATTTATCTGGTCACACCTCGAGCACTTAATTTCAGCCATGTGGGATGTGACACTGAAAAGATACAGGTGCAGCTATCTTTAGAGACATAATTTACTGTTCATGTCAAAGTTACAAAAAACTGAAAGAATATCATTTTAAGCAGTTTGAGACTCTCAGATAAATGAGTTCAGTGCCAACAATGACAACTAACTATATATTTGCTTTACTAAGCCTAAGAATGATCAAGAGCAGGGTCTGTATTTATATAAAACTGGTCAGATTTCCTGAAACAAGCCCAGAGCAACCCAGCCTTGAGCAGCCAAAGAACACAGACAAGGGAAAGACAATATCAGATTAGGAAATACCTTTTAAAATTCCAAGGATGTGACAGTTTCTTGGTGAAGGCACAGGACACATCTTGAGAGCTTCTTTTTAACTCTGCTCCTGTGAAAGCAGCTGTGGAGCCACAAAGCTTTGTGGTTCAGCAGTGACTGGAGTTGGCATAAACCCCTAAAAATAACGACATTTGCTGGCTAGAAATAATTATAAGACAATGCACAACTCTTCTTTAAAGTAGGGTTTTCCATATCTAAACATCTCCACTACTTTTGGTTGTCACAGTTTTTATTTAAATAGGATCACAACACAAAAAACTCTCCAGTGAGCACTTGCTGTTCTTACACTGACTTTTTATTGATTTTGTGCCTCAAAATGCAGCCCCATATCTGAAAGCCCTACTCTGTATTTTTTATTTTTTACTGTTCCTTCACCTGCTCTAATCCTTTACTATCTTGTCCTTTCCAGAGCAATAAAACTCCAGGAGTCTTCTTTTTCTATTTTCAGAACACTCATAGCAAGACAGGGAAGTAATTTGTGCTTATAAATCTCAAGACAACTAACTCTAGGGCATAAAAATGCAAATTACTGATGCTATCAGGAGATTGAAATTGGCTGCCATATAACCATATATTTTGTAAGTTCTAGCACAAACTACTTTGTTGATTTCTGGAAATTAGCTTTCCACGATTTCCTAGTAATTACCATGTATCTGAATGACCATTTTACTCTCCCTGTGTTTTCAGTCACTGATATTTATTTCCTGTCACTGACTCTTAGTCATCATCAGCTGTTACTTTTCATTTCTTTAAAACCCCTAAGTATTTTCTTCTCAGATGCTTCAGCTTTTTTAAGGGCTCATCTTTTATCCCATTAAACCTCATACACCTGGCAATAAAAGTTCTCTCTAGACAGAAAGCACTGATGTTGTAAAGGCAGAAGCAGGAATTCTGAGAGTGAAGCAGGTCCACAGTTTTAACAGGAATTTACAGACAGCTGAGAGAATTTATCTGAAAACTGGGTGTTTTAAAGTGAAGCCACAACACTGGCAGATTTACACACTGGAGAAGTTGTATAAAAACTCATTTAAGGGGAAATAATAAATCATTTTTTCCCCCTTCAGACATTAGCAACAGAAAAAGGTTAAAAACAACAGGTGCTTGTTTGCCTCCCATCTTACATTTTTTTTCCTTACTTGATTATAAGTAGTTAATTACAGAGAGATGGCAACAAACTAAAAGTTCACTGCCAGTGAAGTAAAAAACTCCTCTTGAGATCTTCTTGCAGCTGTGGTGTTATGGAGAAATGGGACCCACCAGCTAATTACAGCCTTGCTTTGCTTTTAACCTTAGTGATTAGAAGTGGCCTGCCAGGGACATTCCCATTCCCAACAAATGCAAGAAATTACTTGCAGTCACCTAATGCAGTCACAAGTCCAAATACACCCCCTGCCTGGGTGGGCAGCTGTGGCTGGGGCTTGGTTATTTTATTTTGAGGTTTTTTTCCCATTAATATGCAAACTGCCAGCAGCCCACGGAGGGCTGACAAATTGCCAGAGCACTCATTAACTTCCAGGGCTGGGGATGAGGCCAAGCCCTGCTGCAGTGGAATTTTTGCCACCAGCTTCAAGGGGACTGGAACTGAACTTGTCATCCATAAAACTGAGGATACATCAAGCAGTTCCTAAAACTGGCATAAGGAGGGAGTTGCTGGAGTGACCAGTTATGGATTCAAATGAACTGGCACTAATAAAACACACTGACCATTGCAGTAAGACCTGGGGTAGAAATCTACCTTTGAAAAGAGCTGGGAGGAAAGAACCTTCACACTTCAAAAGCTCCCAAATTTCCCCCCGATGTCTTTCATGTTCTAGCAACTACTTTTTGGACTGTAGGCTTGACAGCTTCTGCCCAGCCTTCAGGTTCCCTCTCTCCAGCCCCAGGACTGGAGCCAGCATGCACATGAAGCTCTTTGCTTGTTTGGCCACAGGGACCTACTTTCATCATCATCAGATTTCCTACAGACCTGCTCAAGTTCTAATTTTAAGTATTGATTTGCTCAATCCTGTCCTTTCAGGGCATTTTCCTATATTTTCATTATGTTTTCACCTTACTGTTCTCACCTCTACCTATGGAGGTTGTAAGGAAGTTATAGCCTCCAATGAGAGAAAATTGAATAGTTAATTTTGGGGAGTGAGAAAGCCCAGCCAACTGCTAGAGACACATTTTCTTTTACTACATTCCCACTTTTCTTCTGGCATCATGAGAAACTATGTAAAAAAATTAAAAATTAAAAAAAAGGCAACCAAGAGAACTCCAAATACCTGTAAGAATAAGACAGTTACAATTTCTCTGTTTGTCTTCTGTTTAAAAAGCTCTTTCCTAGAGCTGTTCTGTATCTCTCAGCACCCCTCAAATGTGACCACCCCTCTTTAAAAAGAACAAACATGCACCCAAAAAAAACACCTGAAGGCTGCCAATAGTGGAAGGAGTTTTGACACAGTCTGGGGGCAACAAACTATTTAGCATTGTGTCTGGGCTTTTGACAAAAACTGTTCCAACATAAAAATTATCAACCAAGTTATCTACAGCTCTCTGTTACCTCTTATTTTCTTCCTCCAGACTGTTCTCAGCCTTCCATTCATTTATTACTTTTTCTTCTTACTTATTGTCAAATAAAAGAATTTGACTTCTGTCATTTTTACACAGGAAATACAAAACTGAAATACTATAATGAACATTCATTCATTTTTAAGTAGCCATTCTCAAGAATTTGAATTCTCTGTCCTCTTTCGCAGCTCCTGAAAGCCTGATGCAGGCTTTGGAAGATCTGGATTACCTGGCAGCCCTGGATAACGATGGAAACCTTTCCGAATTTGGAATTATTATGTCAGAATTTCCCCTGGACCCACAACTGTCCAAGTCACTTCTGGCTTCGTGTGAATTTGAGTGTGTGGATGAAATGCTCACCGTCGCAGCCATGGTAACAGGTACCAGAAATCATGTCTCACTGCTTGGCTTGTGCCACCTGCCAAATCCATGCACTTTCTTTCCAAGTCTATCCACAAAAGCAAATTTTTGTTGTTTTCATCCTGCTTATTACAAATACATTAATATCTTTGGCTGTTTAAGTCTTGTCTGGGTGTGCAAAGAAATATAAGTAATGACTCCATAAGTAGCATTCCATTTCCATGCTTCAGCTGCCTGACTGGGCTTCCAGTCTTTTGCCAGAAACATCCCTTCAAAATTAACTTTCTTATCCCATATTAATCTACATTTGTTACTGATAAAGTTAGGGGAAGTTCTGATTATAAACAATATTGAACTGTCGACCTACAAAGAATTACTTTGTGAACTTGTCTCTCTACTTCAAGTATGTTACAAAACCAACATAACTTTGGAATCTTATGTAGGAAGGACATAAACCCACAGGATATCAAGCTGCATTAATTGTTCTCCATACAGGACAACTTTATGCCCAAACTGGGTTGATTTTTAACAGTGGCCCCAAACTTGTGTTAAAATTTTTAAGTACATGTAACAAATGTAAAAGATTGAGCACAGGCACAACTTAGTTTTAAAAAAGTTCAACCACCTCCAAAGACACAACAGAAGTGAAATGCACTGGGAGGCACAAATTTCAATATATGGGGGCAAATTAAGGCATTACAGCTGTAAATTTAGTTTCTTTCTATATTAAATAAACCATATGGATTCGGGCTAAATTGGATCATGCCACTATGAGGCATTTTTGGCAGCATTCTGGGGGAAAGCTGCTCACCTTCCTTTGTGTCTACAGCACACATTAACTCAACAAGAGACTGAGAGGAATCCTATTAAATAAACCCTTAGTGGGTTCAGCTCTTCAGCAGCTGGACATTAAAGGAAACTGAGGAAGGAAAAAAACAACATAACCACTGTGTTGATTTTTTTTCAAGCTCCTAATTGCTTCTTACACGCTCCTCCTGGGACAGAGGAGATCGCCCTGACCTGCTGGAGAAGGTTCTCCCACCCTGCAGGAGATCACTTTACTCTCATCAACATCTTCAATGCCTTCAAGGAAGCCAGTGCCAGCTCCACAAACCAAGGTGAGTGTGCCCATACCAAAATGAAGCACACTGGGACCAATTTGGAAAAGACAAGCCAAAAATCTGAACAGCTGTTGTCATAAACCCTTCCTGAATGATTCCTTCCAGAACTGCTGATTTGCAGGGAGAAACATATGAGAGTAGCTGTTGCTAATTAATATTAGTTTATTAACTAATTGAAAATAACCTAGGACAGCAGCCCCCATCCAACATGGATACACAAGCACTATTCCAGTAGTCATTTGAAGTGACAGTGTGCCAAATGATGGTTCCCTCTGTAAAAGCCCAAATCCAGGTTTAAGATGTGAAAGGACATAAACACAGCTCAGGAGGGCCTCGATTCCCTCAGCAGCCCAACAATTCTGATGGTTTTTTGATAGCTGTCAACTCAAAGAAAAGCTAAGGGAAAAATGGAAAGCAGTAAAGTTCACATTTACAGGAAACCAGCACAGCAGCAGCAGCTCTTCACAGCATTTTCCTGTGCTCAAACATCTTGCTCTGGGTCATTAAACCCAGCACTTAAAACATGGAGGGATTATTCTGCACACTCAAGTAAAACCTTCAGACAGGAAAGTAGGATTATTTCCCATTCAGTCATGCTGGATGCTGAAGGGAAGTCCAGGAGAACCAGTCCTTTTCCAGAAGGCAGGGCCACCACCAGCACTACAGCTGTGATTTCAGCTCCATATCCTGGCCTGAACCCAGAAGGCCTGAAAAACAGAGTTGCTACTCATTCTCTTGGAAGCTGTTACTTTTGACTGACCAAATGAGGGATTTTATTCAGAAAGAAACAGTTAAAGTTCTATAAAACTAAGTGAGGATATCAGGAACTGCCCACTGACTTTACAAGGAAGATCAATGAGCCCAAGACATCTGTGTGGCTCATTACCAGAACTGCAGACAGTCCAGACACAGCCACTCCCTCCAAAATGGTTTTAATTTCTTGCTCTACTCAGACAGCATTTCAGAGCAGGATCTCTGTGGATTGCCCCTCTCAACAAGACTTTATTTGAGCCAAAATACTGTTTTTTTCCTCCCCAGAGTCCAGCACTGAGAAGTGGTGTCGGGATTATTTCCTGAGCTGTCCTGCTCTGAGGATGGCAGGAACCATCAGAGCCGAGCTGGTGGAGATTATGAAGCGCATTGAACTCCCCATTTCACAACCAGACTTTGGATCAAAAGAAAATGCACTAAACATTAAGAAAGCTCTCTTATCTGGTTACTTCATGCATGTAAGGAAAAATACTGTGGTTTGATCTTGCTGCATTGTTAAATCATATAGAATGCTTTCAGAGAATTTAAGTTAGTGAAACCTCTTGGTCACCAAAAAGAATAAAAGCCATTTTTTCCACGGTGTATCAAACACTTCCACCCATTCCAACTTTTTCTCTGGAGTTCAGCAATCACAGAATAGGAAAAAAGCAATAAGAAAACTGTCAACCATTACAATGGTTTTCACTTAAAGAACTCTTTTACCTCAAAAAACTCTCCTAACTTGCAATATTCTCTTAAACATTATTTCCTTTTTGAAGGTATTTCTGTGAAAATATCCTGGAAATAGAGAAATGACTTGAATATATTTAGGTGCACATAATACACAGCTTACTTCATCTCAGCCTAGTAAGATACTCTAATTGTAATTGTAAACACAAACAAGATTAATTTATTCTCACTGGAACATGTTTTCCTTCACATCACTGTGCTTCATCTCAGCACAAGAATGATCCCTCCAAACTACACTATTTCAAGTGTCCTGCCACACGTTGTATTTCAAAGTCTATGAAGTTTATATATCTTAAAGAATATATGTTTATGTTTTCACACAGACCCTTCAAAGCCAAGTTCAGACACTTATGTACTCACCTGCCCTCATCTGTTGCAGAGTTTCCTTTCAAATATACAGATGAACATTTTCTTTAAGCCTCATTTCATGGTATCCAGCCCCCAGCTTTCCCACACAAATTTGGGAAGAGGTTTAGCCTCTCCAGTTGAGTGTCTGAAGGCAAGTTTAATTTCTGGCTTTAATATATTAGGCAAACACTGATCAATTGAGCAATGGACGACTCCCTGCGTTCTTTTTTTTTAGATTGCTCGTGATGTGGATGGCTCAGGGAACTACCTGATGTTGACACACAGACAAGTGGCCCAGCTCCATCCTTTCTCATCCTATTACAACACCAGAAGGATTCCTGAGTGGGTTTTATTCCACGAGTTTAGTCTCTCAGAAAACAATTCCATTCGAGTCGTTTCCGAGATATCACCCGATCTGTAAGTTAACAATGATGAAATTGCTTCTCCCCTCCTGCCTCTACCACAACACCATCACTTTGTGGGGATAAAAACCAATAAATCAGTAAAATAGGCATAAGAGAAAAAGATAATCTTCATACCTAGTCAAGCAAGAGGAGTTGGCATCACTGTAAGATGAAGAAATTGTTGCTTTTCACACTTTTTATAATTCACTAGTGAATATATGGGGGATAAATTTTATTTCTTTGTTGCCAGAATTGTTCTGTCACTGTGTGTAGCTTCACTTGATGGCTCCATTTTCCTTCAAAACACTCACTGCATTAAGGCTCAGAGCTACTAAAAAAGGGAAGATGTGTGATCTCAGCCCTTACCATTATTTTTGGGCAAAACAAAACATGATTTAAGTCAGCCTTCTGCATTTCCCAGCATGTGCTTATCTGTTCAGGTGCTGAACTAAGTCTCAGTAACTGCCACTGTACCTGTCATCAATTGAAAAAAATACCTTATAAGTTGCAAAAGCTTCTTACAAAGTAAAATATACAGAAATAAAATTCAAAGGGTTAACCAACCAGTGTACTCGTAGATTAATCCAGCTGGAAATGTCTTTGTTCCCTGAAAACCTATTTTCCAGCAAATCTTTTTCTCAACATGTTTTCTGTACCCAACCAGCTCAATCATCCTGTCTATGGATTCAAGAGGCTACAGTCTTCCTGCTGCAAAAATCTCTTTACACCAAGAATATATATTTCCCTGTCCCATCTTTTCTATTTCCCAGGTTTATAGGAGAGCCTTTTTCATAATGTTATTGAACCAGTATGTTCCAAACCAGGAAAATGACTATTCAATGCCATCTGCACCACTGAGAACTGAACAACAATCACCTCAAGTGAGGACTGAGTATTTTAAATGCAAGTCTACTGAAAGCACAAAATACTACTACATCTTGCAGGGAATTTTGGTTTCTTACAGACAGGTTGGATTTTGGGTTGAAATACCAACTTTGCAGCTGTTATGCATCACCTTTTGTGTATGAGTGGAAATAGTTATTCAAATATTTCAGAATTCAATTAAAAAATAATCATGTTTTGTCTCATTTCCTCCCCAGATTCGCTGAGCTGGTACCTCAGTATTATTTTAGCAATCTTCCTCCTAGTGAAAGCAAGGATATTCTGCAGGAAGTGATCAATCACTTGTCACCTGTTTCAACCACAAAGGAAGAACAGAAAACTACCAATGACAACAAAGAAAACGAGGAATTTCCCACTGAGGCTCCCACTGAACAGAGATGTGTCATTCAGTGATTTTAGACTGAACTATGACATAGTGGACAACTACAAATAAAAGCAATATATGCAAAGTACACCCCCACCTTAACACATGTAATTATTTCAAACTTTTGACATAAATGTATTTGACAGAAGAAACACAAAGAAAAAGCACTTTTCTCAACAAAATCGATTGCATCCATTATTTCATAACAAAAATACATGACTTAGTTTTGGTTAAAAATACACTGAGCAGATCTTCAAGTTTTCTTTTGACATTGGGATTTTATTGACTGCTTGATGATGATACCAAAGTAAAATCGGATGAAATATTTAAAAATATTAATCTGATGGCTGTTTCTAGGAGCACAGAGGAGGCATTTGAGTGGAACAAAACCGTTACCACCAAGTCTTGCATGAAAATATTGCCAAGTCAGAGTTCTGCAAGGGCTGCCTTACAAAAACCTGGTGTTTGCAGGGGAGTTCAGACTGAGAGGTAGTCTTTGAGTTTCTCCATAATGGCATTCATTCCATCAGCTGGAACTATCATAACAGTCCTCAAAGGCTTCATTGGTACATCATCAAAGGACCATCTGCCACCCAAGCAGGTGTCGCTTTCCTCTTGCACAGAGTAGTTGAACTTCAGAAGGGCTTTCTGAACGACACAAATAAAAAGCATTCAGGTTAAAATTCTTCATTAGCATGAAGACAATACATCACCTAAACAAAGCAAAAATAATGAACCTATTATGCCGTGCTTATTAAGAAGTTTTCTCCCATCTGGAAAGGTCCACCAAAAAAAAATCCGCTATTAAGCGTTTTTAACTATCTGCTTTTCACAGGATTTATATGATTCATATTAAATTCTAAAATGACTGCTATTATTACAGTTTAGGATCAGAAAAATTACCCAAGACAGAGGAAAAAAAAAAATCAATGTCCCTTTTCTACTCTTACTATGCCTTATTTTAGGTGGTTTTAAGGCAGCATCTCATTCCATACGATCACACTAAGAAAGGCCAATCATTAGAAGCTGTTGTGCAACTAACAGGGATCAGAAAATCAGGCTCTTAATAGACCTTCAACCCTGGAACAAGAGTAAACCACTGTGTAATTCTGAGAATTAGCCAAAACCCAGATAAAAGGGACAGCAGGAGAGTGCAGGTGGAACTGAGCCTGTACTGAAGATGATGGATTGGTGTGGACAACATCTGGAAGGCCTGAGGCTGTGAGAAGGCTCTGCTCCCTTCAGGGCCTACTCTTAAAACTGCTCAGAGTCCTAAAAATTAACATATCTGTAAGGACAGAAATCAATATTAAGGGCATGGGCACCAATATGAATCCTGAGGAGAGTTTCAAAAAGCTCTTGGAAAGGCTGGAGCCACTGGAAGACATATTTATGCTTCTCCAAATAGGCAGGTGTTTATAATGTGTATTATTTCTTTTCAGGGATACATATACTGCATACAAAATCCCTTTTTATTAGCTTTCCTAGACAAAATACCTTATGCATAAGAAAAATGTATCTAACAAATGTTTCTAGTTTTCCCACAAGTCAGATTAAGGAGTATGAGCTGAATCATTTAGTAGAAAAACTTCCCTAACCACTTCCCTTTGAAGGGAAAGCTAAAATCCAGTCTCCTTTTAGGTTTGCTTCCCACTAACAGTATCTCAAGGCTGTAAATTTAATTTTTGAAGAACCACTACGTTAAATGAGGGGCTTTGCTCAAGAACAACACAAGCAATGGAAGCCCTAAATATTTAATCATTCCAAGTCTGGTTATAATAGATTTCCTGGTGATAATTTTAAGGAACAGAATAAAGCCCAGGGAACTGCCAAGTGCAAAAACGCTTCTCTCTGTTTTATATGGCTGCAAGTGTCTGCCTCACTACATTTAATACTATTTTATGGCAATCTAATTAACCTTCTGTGTGATCAGGGAGGATATATACTCCAACACTAATTTAACACATACACATTACTAAGTGCAGAAACCCACTTCATCTAACACCCTCCATAATGTTTAAAATGAATTTTTTTTTAAAAAAGACTGTTAAAAAAAGAAAAGCACGTTCAGTTTGAGTCCATCCACTTGAGCCGAAAATGACTGCAATTTACTTGAAAGCACACAATTAATTAGCCTTTAGAATGCCAGCCAAAATAACAAAGCAGAGAGGAAGCCAAAACAGCCCTTCTGGAATGTGACACCCAGGGACACAGGGGCATCACAGGCTGCTCCCTGTCAGCTTCTCAACAACACAGAGAGCTCAGGTTCAGCTGCTGTGGCAGGAACACAGAAAGAAAATCCCCAACTTGTTACTGCACTGAGGTGACAACAATTCCTATGGCTAAGAATGAATTCCCCCACTTACATGTTCCTTCTTCCCAAGAAATAAAATTACAGCCCTACCACAGCCTCTCACTGAGAGTCAGGAATGATCACACACAGCAGCCCTGGCCATTAACCACACAGTGCATGTGCAAGGACTTCATCCCACAGGCACTGCCAGAAATGAAAAATAATGGTCTTTTGACAAAGCAATAATATTGTAGAATAGGATTTTTAAAGCTTAGGAAAAAACCCACCACATGACAAAAAATTCCTTGCATTTTAAAGTACGTTTTTAATTTAATTTCCTGCGTCTTCCCCTCACCTGATTTGGCTTGGGACCAGAACTGTGCAGACAGGTTGCCTTAGGAGATAGGAAGTAATATTTTCATCTCAGTATTTTAGGACTTTTTATTAATATACTTGCCCTGAGTAGAAGAGACAGAAAAGGGAAATGAGAGCTACTTGTTTGGATCTTCAGAAGTGTTTTATTCTGAGGATTTTTTGAAAGTAACAGAAGGTGACCAGAAGGAAACACAAATCAATACACAAAAATAGCTTGATTGCTCATCTCTCAACACTACTCTAAAAAACCCTGGATTTAATTTAAAAAGAGTTGTGATCATATCTTGTTAAAAGCTCCTCTTAAATTTAAGGTAAAACACCTTTTTCGGTGATACATAAAGAAAAATTAACATCTTAAATTAAAACTATCACATGTTACCTCATGAAAGAACTCTTCCTCTGCATTTGCAAACATTAATTCCTCCTTTTGCTGATTTCTCCCTTCCCTCCTCTTAGAATTACTCTTTGTGGCTTCTGTGAAGGTTTTGCTGATAAGAAGATAATAGTGGCACTTCCCACAAGGTTTGTTTGTTCTCTGTGCCTCAGTCAGCTCTTTCCTAAAGATAAATAAATATTTACACATTTAAAAATATGTTTACACACAATTTAAATCCTAAACAAGTATATAATAAACCTTATATTGCATTAGTATAGAAAGGATATTCATATTGCAGCCTATTATTTTATGAGTGCCTCAGAAAATAAATTTTGCATGTTTATTCCTAGTACATAAATACACTATTTGCACTTTAAAACAATAAAAGTATCGATGCCTTTCCACACCTCACAAGACAACCCTTTTTTCCTGGAATTGTTCATGGTAGAGAGTCTGTGAAGTGATTCTAAGAGCAACTCTCCTTAAAAATACATCACATTATCACTTCCATGAGGAATTATAACTGAAAACACCGAAAATAACTTTTGCCCAACCTTATGTTAAACATGTTGTCACTGAAACACTCCAAAACCTTTAGGAGAAAGAGGTTGAAATCTGAATTTCAGCTGTCACAAGTGCTGTATTTGTGGTGACCTCAAAGTTAAGCCTTCAAGCACCCCATTTTTTTCTCTGAAAACCTTCCTGACCAACCCTACCTTACATATCCAAGTCAGAATTCCTTAAAAGTCTCTTTAATTGCTCAAATGAGCCTGTCCCTCAATCCAAACATCCCATTCCAGAGCCAGGCACTAACACATGAGAAGAAACATCCAAGTTGCTCCCAATCAGCACCCTATAAAAAGTTCTCATTTCATAATTTTCTCAGATCAATATGAAAATAATCTGCAACACAAAGACAAACTAAACACAGCTAAATATAAGCTACACACAGCTATTTCTGTAGTAGAAATGCACATATTCTTAAATTACACCCTCTTTTTTGTATTTTGTTTATATTTTTAAAAAATTTTTATATTTTAAATTACAAAGAGTTTCCCAAGCCTAAAGATCTAAAGAAAATTTAAAAATTAACTGAAGACCTTATATGAGATTAAAATAATTTTTCCTGTTCCTGCCTTACTTACATCTGTAGTACCACCTGTCTTAACATAGCTCCATATACATAAGATTTCTGAAAAAAATATGAAGTACTATTCAACATCATGTCAGAAAAAAAACCCCAAGAAACTTACTGGAGCTGCTGGTGCATGGGCAGAGCAATCTGGGGTGGAACATTGATGAATCTTTCACTGAGTATGAGACCCACAGGCTTTGTGCAATCACTCAGGAGTTTACTCAGTTGTTCAACTACGTGTTGGTCACAGCTCTTCTCACAGCGACTCAGAACCAGCTCTTTGATTTGCTCAGCACATTGTGTACCCTGCAATCAAAAACTGTATTTTCTTTACCTTGCAGAACGACTATTTACACAAGAAAACCTTGAATGTCACCTTCAAGGGGATTTCCTGCAGGCCTGGTGGCAATTTCCTGGAGCACCAAACAATTCCTCTGAAATCGTTCAGCAGCCCTGAAGCTGAGGGCAAACAAAGGTTGGCAGCTGATGGGAACACAGAGCACTCCACAGCAAAACTCCAAACTGAGGAGGATCAAAGTGGAGAAACACAAGTGATTGACAGCTCAGTTACCCTGGAACTACTGGATTTAGTTTTAACTCTTTGACCTTCAGCAAGTTACTACAACCAAAAAATAATAAATCTAAGTCACGTGTGACTTTTATGACCCCACGCCGGAATTCAAAATCCTGATCCAGCTGTCCAGGCTTGTCACACAGGGCAGAAAGCAGGATGCAGCCTCAATTATCACTAACTAGATGTTAATGAGGAATACCAACCTTTCTTTCTGTTAAGTTCAGGCAGCTTATAAAACCAAAGACCTCATCATCATCATCATCACCATCATCACTACTGTCCTCCTGGACTTCTGCTTGCTGTTGAAAGAAAGAAAAAGCAACAACTCAGACTGACATTCTATTTCCACTCTGCAGCAAAAGCTGTTTGTCTTCCCAGGAGATGCTCAGCAGATGACAACCATCCAGGTGATCTGTACAAACA